ATTATTATCATTCAGTTAGAACAAGGATAGATTTAAGATTAACAAATATTAATGTAAAGTTTTATATGTTGGTATTAAATAATTAAATGCTCTAATAGAATATGGAATCGAAGTCTTATATTCAAAAATTTTTCGGATAATTAATTAATGTTTAATTAATAGTTCGGTGAACAATAATACTGATAATACGATTTTTTGTGTAACATCAATTCATGTATATTAATTTCGTTTGCTAAAATCAAACATTGATCTTAAAGAGGATAAAATTTCTTTGGCTGTAAATCAAATAACATTTACTCGAATATTAAATGAAAAGCTGAATATACATACATTTTTCATTTAGCGTACTTTTAAGAATCAAAAAAATAATGCGAATTTTAAAATTTTGTTGTTCACCTAAAATTCGCAAATAGTTCCATTAATCAGATTTCTTTTCAAAATGAATATCAGTATTGTTAAAAATTTGACGACAACATTTTCAAATTAATTTACGAATGTTTTAATTAGGACAATAAAATAGGGTTTATTTTTCTTAAAAAAAAATTCGAAAATAAACTGAAATTTGTTGAAGATAACTTTTACAGGCTAAATATGAGCAGCCAAGGTAGGAGAATTTCTGCGCTCGCTTTATCACAACGACAAATTGTTAAAGGATGCATTGATAAAGCGAAAGATGATATTGCGGAAAGGATATACCGACGAGTTATTGAAAAACGAGATGATTTCCGGAAATTTGTTGAAGCACTTTCTGAGGTGATTGAAGGGTCAAACAGAATAATTTCCGAAGATTTTTTAAAGGCTTTTAAACGGCAAAGATCATTTCCGTAATGTTGAAGTAACTGAAGCAAAAAGAAGATAATTTCCGAAAACTTTTTAAAGCACTATCTAAGTAACAGAAAAACTCACAAAGAGGAAAATTTCCGGAAATTTGTTGAAGCATTTTTTGAGCTAATTAAAAAGGCAAAATTTTTTCAAAACATTTTCCAAGATGATTTAAGGGAGCAAAGGAGATCATTTCTGAAAATTTGTTAAAGGTAATTTTTGAAGTAAATGGAAAAGAAAAAAAAAACGAAGCCAACTGTGTTATTGATTGTATGGAGACTGAAACGAAACAAACGTATTTAAAAATATATATATATATATACAAATTATAATTCCGATCAAGTTTGTTTAAATGAAATGACTAC